AATATATACTTCTTTTTTAATATAACTGCTCATTAAAAATTGACAAATTGAATCTATTGCATTTCATTCTATCAGCGGAAGTTTGAAATCTTATTCAATTATAACTGTATCTAGTAAAAAGTTTTCAAGTGGTTCCTTGGTCGAGCTCGTCTAGCTATTGAAAGGGTAAAACGATAATGGATGTGTCGTAAGTTCGATGCTTGCTCAGGTCAAGCGATTTTTAATAAAAAATAAATAAATGGTGTATAGCGGTTTGCGAAAATAATAAACAAATTAATAATAATATAAAATAGTGTGTGGTAAGTTGCGGTTCTGTAAAAAAAGTGGGGATGTGGTCTCAATGGAAATATAATCCTGGACGTTTTTTGAATGTTCAGTATTCGACGTCCAAATATATTTCAGAATTGAACGTCCTCTGAATGGTCAAAAGTGTGCCATTTGTATACTTCACTGGACGTCTATTGGATGTCGGAAGTCCAGAAAAACTCATTCTTGGACGTCTAGACATCCAAAATTGTATATCGAATGGACGTCCAATGGACATATTTGTATTGTCTGGGTGATAGCCAGGCCAGGTATTAAACTCTAAATACAGAGACCTTAAATGACATCTGGCTTAACTTGGCGAGAAACCACTTGTTTATAAAGAAATGAGTGATAAACTTGAAAGTCCTTTTAATATAATATAAATCCAGAAATTCTAAAAATATGTAAGTACTTTTTAAACCTAAACGTTTTTGAAAATATAAGCACATTGCAAATATTTAGTTAAACATCTCAAACTTAATGTCTTTTTAATTGTTACCTAAATTTTTTTTGGCACCCTTAATTTTATTTACCTTATTTTTACTTAATGAAAAGGTAATTTAATTTAAATATGGGGCTTTTATTACATTTTTAACAATAAATAAACCAAATATTGAACAAATTTTATAGATAAATTATAAAATAATAAACGTCTTTTACTTTTATAATAAACAATTAATTATTACATAATGAATTATATTTTTGTACCGAAATTTCACCATTGCTATTAACCTTAACTACTTCAATGTAATTAAATCACATTACAACATTTGCGCATGGACTATAACAATGATTTCAGATAATTTGCCAAACTATTTCGCTCAGTGTAGAAAATAAGCATGTTTTCTCAGCGTGCTAAGTTGTGTTTCAATCAAAGTCATGCTGTGAAAAAGGTACATCCGATATCAAAGGCACCGACAGCTACTGTCGCTTCTCCTTGATCGTTATTCTCGGGTTCTGTCTCAACTACCAAAGTGCTACTTTCTGCTTTTAATACACAAATAGCTATTATGGAGAAGGAGAAACATAATTTGAATAATGAAAATATCGAAAGTTTTAGAGCTTAGTTTATTCCAAAGTTATGTCATTATACCTGGAAACAATTTGATGGCTTACATAACTTTTTTTAAGCTGTGATCATGTCGTACACAGGCATAACGACTCTATGTGAGTTGTTGCTGAAATTATAATATTTCAAGCTATAATTAGCTTTGACAGATAAAGGCAAAGATAACTACACGCCTTTGAATTAAATAAAAATGGTCATTTAAAGGAGAATTATCATTTGTCGTTAAATGCTCCAAAATGGGCATATTCCACTACAAATTCTATAGTGACTTACACGCAGTTATATTTTTATTTCGTCACGTGTGTCAGAAAATTTTGGCCTCCTTCATTTTAGACAATTTTATTGAAAGTTAAAGATTAAGACTATTCCACCTTATAACTTATAGTAACTAGGATTGCCAGGAGTTGAGTCGTTTATAACAGCACACTGTATTGTGATTTTTTTTTATCAATTTATTTATTTTATCGATGAAATCCTTTTAACATTTAAAGATTCCGCAGGCTCACACCTTATCTGATAAATGTATACAGCGTTGCGCGTTGGCATAAAAGTTAATTTACTTATATTAAAAAGACTGTTAAAGTGTAATTTTATATGATTTAATACAGCGTTTTTAGGTCAAAGTACATGCTCTGGATTTATTTATTATACTTGGCGTGTATTTACGCCGTTTTTTATACAAATTTGAGAAGAATATGAAAATGTTGTAGCATGTTTGGCATACTGCCCTGTTAGACTAAATTAATTTATTTAATATACCTTGGATACACTTATCGTAAACATATTCATTATAACCTAGGACATAATGAGCGGGTGTTATGGCTCATAACGCCTACTAATTTAGTTTATTGTTGTATGAACAAGTTGTAAAATTAATTTTAAAAAACCGCCTTCAAAATCGTGCAGATGCCATCACCATATCTTGACCAAATTTATAAGGGACCCTCTGAGGTACCCTCTTACTAACACAAAAAGAATCATAGAAATCGGATAAGGTGGTAAAGAATTACATACATAAAAAATAAAGAATTTGAGGTTGTTCTAATAGACCCAATTATTAGATTTTGACCATAATTTATACGTAAACGACAAAAGTTTCATCCTTTTAAAATACGATTGGTTCAGGAACTGAATGAGGATGATTTCGATCGCCGACTCTAGTTCTGTGAAGTGGTCAGTGAAAATATTAACAATAATCAAAATTACAAGTTCGATATGTGTTTTTCGGATAAGTGTTCATTTGTAAATAGGCATAATTGTCGGTATTGGTCAGATGAAAATTAAAGAGTATTTCTTGAAGTACATACTCAGTATCAGCAAAAACTAAATGTTTGGGCGGTTATTCATGGAAATCACATAATCAGACCCTTTTGTATACCTGGTAACTTCATTGGCGAAGTGTATCTGGAATTATTGGAAAACGCTATTTATCCAGCTCTCGTGCTAGTATTGGAGGATGAAAAAGACTATCATACCATCATTTTTCAACAAGATGGCGCACCACCTCATTTCGTACAACCTGTCCGTCAATTTTTTGATGAGAATTTTCCTCAAAGCTGGATTAGAAGAAGGGTGCATATTGAGTGGCCACCCAAGTCACCTGATCTGAATCCACTATACTTTTTTCTATGCGGTTATCTAAAATCTAAGACTTACGCTACCCAGTCCAAATCACTGGATGATTTGCGAAATCGTATAATTAATGAATGTCGTCAAATTACACCAGACTTGTTGCGTAATGTACAGGAACGTTTTGAACAAAACTTATTTTACTTCATGGAAGTGAATGATGGCCATTTCCAGCATTTAATAAACTAGTCACAGAAGTAAATATTCTTTTTGTTTGTTATTAAGTAGACATTTTTTCCACATTATCTCTTTCACTGTTTTAGCTGTTATCGATAAAAAATTTGACGCGAAATTTTAGGGTCAGATAGTACTCGATGAGATCTTCAAAATTAGGTATTGCAATACCCCTCACCCCTATTTAAAATCAGGGGGTTGTGCTTCCCCCTGTTATAGGGTCAAAAATCGACGGGTTCGAGGTTTTTTCCCGATTTTCATTTTAAAGCCGTAAAATTGGGGTGTAAAGTTTTCGTTGGCCCACCCTGTATATAAAATATTTTATAAAAATTGTTTATTCCCTTTTAAGCTATTCCCTATACTTAATGTAGGCAAAAAAATATGATCTTAATAAATCATAATAAAACAAATCATATATTAAAATCCGGCTCTCTGTCTGCTCACCACTAGATTCTTTGATGGTGTTTTAAAAGTGAAACAGCATAAAATAAAATTAACTCAAACTGTACATTATTTTATCACTAAACCACATAATTTATCCTAATAGCATTTGTGTTACTGCGTCTCGGCGCCTTTTAAGGATAAGCATTGTATTACCTAGCAGAGCTGGGACGAATCCTCAAAAAATAGATTCGAATCACGAATCCGAATCACGAGATGTGATTCGAAACACGGATCCTATAATCCTTTTTACAAAAAAAAAGGATTCGAATCAAGTGATTCGAATCCATTTTTTCGGATCACGAATACGAATCACTGTCAGTGTCACACCATGGTTCCGAATCTAATATTTTCTACTAGCAACTATGTGTCTATTACGGACTCTGACGTACATAAAAATAGTTGATACAAGAAGATGTTGAATAATATAACTATTTTTTTCTATGAATATGGACCATAAAAGCGGCTCCGCTATCTAAACATTCTGCTTAATTTTTTATTTATCTTTTAATACTGCTGATGATATTTTTTGGTAATTGTAATTGTGTACTAGTCTATAATCTATATGTTTATTTTTTTGAATAGAAAATGTTTTAATTGAATACAAGGAAATCTAAATAAAGTATAATTAAATCGATTTGACTTTAGCACACTAACATGAAAGCAACTGTTCAATTGTTATCAAGAATATACCCACCTAGTCATTCTTATCGATCACATCCATCCCAATTATAAGAAAAATTGGAAATTATATTATTTGGATATAATTTTCTATAGTTTTTTAATATCTATAAGCACAGGGACGAAAAGTGTATTTTTGGACTCATACGAGTCGTCCGTAAAACTCAACTTTTCGTCCTAACATAAACTACTATTATTCTAATACAAAAACAAAATAATAAACAAACAATGAAATAAAATTGTCTTTTGGTTGGCCTTACATAGCACCAAAATTATACCTGCAAATAAAAATAATTGTTCGAATGCACCAGACGGAGGAAGGCTAGTCTTAAATTTTAGGAATTTTTATGTTGGATATTCATTGCTAATTTGTAGATTATTACGTTTATCTCCTAAATATTCACAATTCGTTCGCGCCGGCGTAGTTTTGGTCTCTAAAAGGATCCGAGACTAATATTGGTGATTCGAATACGAATCCTTTAGGATTTTCACGGCGAATCCGGATCACGGATCCTTTTTTGCTTAAGTATTCGAATACCGCTCTCGGATCCTCAAAAAGGATTCAAATCCTAGGATTCGAATCCTATGTGATTCAAATCCTCCCCAGCTCTGTTACCTAGCATTCGAATAAAATTCGTGTCCAATTAAATATTTCTTAAACATTTTTGACATTTTAATTTACATATCTATTTTTTTACAGGTGTACCCGCTTCCGCCGATCTAGAAAATAACTCCAACCAGAAAAAATACACCGTAAATCAAACAAACAAAAAAGGACTTGTGATATCTAAACCTCTGTGTGCCCTAATGGCTATCGGTGCCTTTCTTCTAGCCTTATTAGTAGGTCTTATAGTATTCTTTTTAGTTCCTAGATATTGTAATGGAGAAAAACCTCCGGAAGCTTTAACGCATACGCACCAATCACATACAAATTCGCAATTAAGTAATAGTGCTAATACCAATATGGCTAATGATGGTGAAGAGACGAAGGCTGATGATGGTGAAGAGACGAATGCTGATGATGGTGTAGACGAAAGGTTACCTAGAAGTTTAGAACCTGAACATTATAAGTAAGAATCACATTTTATATTTTTGCCATTTACTAACGAACAATAAGTATATTAATTAGAGCAAAACAATGATCGAGACAATTAATTGTATTGTTAATTTCCGTTTATAATAAATAATAATAATAATAATAATAATACTCTCCCTAATTCACCCCCTTACGAGTGAATTTTAACCCCAAAAGCTGAGCTTGTCCGGGGAAAGGGAATGAATTGATTAATATTATTATCATTACAAATTGGGGAAAATCTTTAATATTTTAAATCGACGTTTTTTATAAAAAAAAAAAAACTATAATTTTGATAGTGACATATCTTGATAACAGGACGACTGGTAAAAATGGACAAGATTCGTGTAAATTCGGATAATACACTGAGAAAAGGGTTTAAATATATGTAACAAACTTATTTAGCAACATCCACTATTTTTTCTCTAAATTGAAGGTTAGTGATATAATTAGAAAAATAAGGATCCACAATAATTTATTTTCAAGTAAATTGTACTGATCGCTAAACTAAAAAAGGTTTTTACTTGAGGATACAGACCAAATACTCATTGTAGTTAATTCAGTTTTTTAGATAACAACTCTTTAACAGAGGGATTGGTAGCTTTTGTGTAATTATTCACTGGTTATATTATTCAAGTCTTCTCCATTACAGACTCTTAACCACATGGGAACCCTAAAAAAATACAAAATACATTGTTATAGGTACATAAATATAATTTTATTTAAAAATGATAATAAAATAATTGTTTTGATTAAATAGCCAAATAAATAATATACAGTTAACATTGCTGCATTTGAAAAGTACCTCATTTTACTCAAAGCCGTTCTTTTAATACATCTGTGGTTTCTCGATGGGATTTGTTCCATGGTCTTTTAATGCAGAGCTGGTAAGTCAAGTAAGATCTGTTTCCTCCGATCTAAATTTTAGAGCTTTCGGAGTAAATGTAATTTATGTGACAATGGTCAAAGAAAAAAGCAGAAAACTGTTTTTAACTATACAGTTCACTGGAAAAAAGCAACTGAAGTTGTAGATGTACTTTTGTGAGATGTACAGACAGTTGTCTGTTGTCTCTTGTGTCATAGTTTATTCTTTTTCTTCTTATTTACATATCTAGTTAATAGGAGCAAAAAATACTTAAAAAATGTTAGACCAAAATGAGAACATGATTTATTTTCTAGTGATGGCAAAAAGCGAAAAATACCACAGCTAAAAATGAAGTTTATTTTGCAACTTGCAACAAAAACCAGGAGAAGAGAAATCAAATTTGATTTAAAAGGTTTTAGTTTATTTTAATGGAAACCAGAAACTGGAAACACAAACAAATCTACAGCTGTTCTTTTATTTCACATAAGCTCGATTATCACATGATTAAAAAATCTACTAGTTTTACTCCGCTCCAGGAGGTACTGTTCAAACGTACTTAGCACGTAACGCTGGTAAATTTGGATATCTGGATTAAAATTTAAACTATTTGCATAATTTATTTTGCATACCTTTCTGTAACTTTGGGAAATGAAAAATAACTAGTATTCGAATCCGTTCGAGGTAGACATGGGCGATAAACACATCTCTTTCTTTTAGATTCCATCAGTTCACTAAAAAATTATTTTGCTTTAATAAAATAAAAATATGTAAATAGCTCAGCACATACCACAAAAAGTCTTCGATTAAAAACATGTTTACTAAATAATGTTCATACAATAGACAAAGGAAAACACTAAACACAGATTTACTCAATAATTGGTAAAAAATATACAAAGGGAAACACTAAAACACTAAATTCGATAAAAAAATCATAAATTACAAATGACTGATCCTGACACATCAAAACAACACTCGCATGTGACATGACAGTTTTGCCGGTTATAAAATGGCGGCCCTGATCATGCGCAAAAAATGTTGGTCCCTAAAAATTAGCTATCATCCGCTTCTGTAATATGGTTATTCTGTGACAGGACTTCTTGTTTTAATTTATTATATGCCAGGTGATCACGAAGCCACAGAATAGATGAACAATATAGAAAAGAAACATAGGGTTACAGCGTCTTTGGTTACAGCTTACAACCAAAACCGTAGCCACTGTAGCCATGCCTATTATTAATGGTGGAGCATTATCAAAGTACAATGGAAATAAATGTAGTTTTAGCGTGCATTAATTTTCTCAGAGTACCTCTATGGGAACTGAAGTTCCGAGATTTCTGTCGTCCCTTTTACTTTAAAATGCCGACCGTTACTCTCCTTTCTGTAATGTTCATCTATTCTGTGACGAAACTGAAATAAAGAGAATGGATTTGACAGTTTAGAAAACGTCGTCATGATACAAAATTACATGATTATCATGAAAAAAAATATATCTTTGGAAAAAACAATCTTACAATGGCACGATCTGGTGGCGGGTTCAATAAGCACGATGAATGATTGTTATTATACAGGATGTTTCAAAAAACATGAGCCAACGTTCGAGAGTAGATTCCTTTCTTAAAAATGAGACTTTTTCATATCAATATAAGTCCGATTTTGCTTGGCTTCGAAGCTGCATGGTCTCATCATTTTAAAAAATAAAATATATTTTCCCCAAATCTAAAAAACCACGAGAAATATTGATATGAGGTTTAGGCAATTAGAAACATCCAACCGGAGGCATATTATGATATGTTGATAGAGAAAATTAAAATAAAATTTTAAGTAAATTAAAAAAAAAATCGAATAGAAAACGAAAAGCGATATAAACATGATTTTTAGTAAAAATCAAGCTGTATAAGAAGAGAAAGCTATTTATTTTGAAAAAAAAAATTAATAAAAATGGGGTTATGGGTGGTCGAAATATCAAAAACGAAAAATTATATCCACTTGATTATTTTAGCAAACATCGAGCTCTGTAAGGCGACAAAGTCTATTGATTTTGAAAAAAAATCTGTATAAAAATTGGGGTTAAGGGGTCTGTTAAACTGTGAAGAGTATAATATATAATGCCAAGCATTATACAGGGTGTCTCATTAAGAATGGGACACAGAACAACTGAAGATTATCTGAATAAAAATAAGACGATTAACCGAAACATACTTATAAATAAAATACATTTGAAATATATATTCGTATATTATATTAAAATATAAATTTTTTAAGAACAAATAAAATAAAAATTATTATTTGTATATTTTTTAATGGCACCACCTTCAGCCAGGTCCACTCTTCGACAATAAATCAGATAAATAAAACATATTATATATTGTTACACAGGTTTTTGGTATCGCAATTTATTTCAACTCAACTTTAACAATAATTATACAACTGATAACATTAACATGTAACGTCTGTCATAAAAACTGCCTCTGGCGTCAGGTCGTCGACTTATATAGCTTGCCTCAACCTTCTAGAACCTTCTCGAACAATCCGGACTTTTCTTTGACAAGGAATGACATTTCGAGACATTTCTGGACTATTCTATCTTCTTCATTTACTCGTACCTTTACTTATGACGACCGCAGCACGCTGCAGGATGCTGCGTAACAATATCAATCTGTCATGTGCCAATCAATAAGTTATTAACCAGCTAATTGGCCAGATCTTGAAGTTAGATATATGTTGATGTTAAAACACAAAACATTATATGCCTTGCCTATTTCTTTAAGAGCAAAACGAAAAATATCATTAAAATGTTAAAATATAGTGTGTACAGTACAAGATTAAGATGGCAAGTCAGAATTAGATCGAAATCTGATCGAAATTTCCCTTTAGATATGTTTATCGTCATGTTTAAATACTGAATATATTAATATATATAAGGGCCACATCACTCATTAGGATGTGTGGCTACTGCAAGCTGCGTCTATCCTTCTCAGGCTGCTTTCCTTATGTTTTGCGCATTTTACTTGCCATCTCAAATTTATCGTACTGTACACGGATGGACTTACGAGCAAACCGAATACCTTGAAAATTTATAATTCCTTCCGAGCCTTTATTTTTTGTATTTTTTGTAAACCTTCGAAAAGTATTTATTTTGAAAATTCTTGAAAGGATTTTCGAAAAAAAATTGACGCATCATTCTTTATTATTAAATCTATGAAAATTTACTGTTTTTGTTTTAATAAATATATCTAGTAGTTTTTAAATAGGTGGATTTTCCACCTTTTCTTCTTAAACGTCTCTGTAGAGTTGCACAAATTTAAAACTCTCAATATTCTCAAGGCACATAATATCGTGAAATATTCCCAGTGGTGCGCATATGAATACAATTTTATATTTGAAAATCCTTAAAACAATTTTATCGTTGCGAGAGGTCCTGTTTGCTCTTAATGGTTAAATGGTACAGAATTTCCTAACGACCATTGGCGGATTTTTTTTAAACTTTGCTTATTTTACATACATGTACTCTTATTTTCTTTTTTTATATGAGATATGAATGAAGTTTAAACACCTATAATAACTGTTATGCTCTATGAGTACGACCAATAGCCAGATCTTTCATTTGTAGATGACCAAAATAAAGCTTTAAATCAAATAGTTTTGAGTAATTATACCTAGTTAAAATGGGAGGTGTATTAACTATATATTGGCAACCTGTTTATAATAATAATATGCTGTAATGCATTTGCATGTTGTTTTGGACTGAGTTCAAGTAGACTGCTGATAAATCGGAATGAAATGCAACGTTAGTTGGTGAAAATGAAATAATAATTTTATTTAGATTTTATAGAAGCGTTTTATAACTTTGATAAATACGTAATTTAACTATGCTTATTTTTTCTTTCTAAAATTAGCACAGAAACAGTAAAGTTATTCAATTATAGAATCAAAATGTAGGCGTTCTTTTATCCGTTTAAGATATGTTCATAGTTTCTCAATTTTATGTTTTATTGGAGAATTCTCAAGGAAAGTAATATCAATACAAATTAAATTTATCATCAGCTGGCGTAAATAATCGACTTTTATCATAATTTTAATTATTTTTAAAATCTGGAAATTATCTGGTTCACACATCCAATATCATATAT